TAATACTGGAATATAATTTAATTTCATTCACATGTGTTTCATAAACACATAATCCTTTCTGGATTACAATCTTCCATCAAAATGATACATTTAATTATTCCGGCTGCTGTGAGAAAAGGCTATAAATGATCGGCCACCTGCAGGATCCTCACATGCGGTAGCCTACTAGCCGAGACAACTTCTTTATGTTTACAGACGTGACGTAATGACGCAGTGCCATGCTCGAATTTTCCGCGAAAACCTACCCGTACCACTCAAATTAGAAAACATTATTATAAGCTAACCGTTGTGAATCGGGCTAAAGTAAGGCGATAGTTTTGAACACTGGCTGGTTATGTACTTGCTTAAATATTGATTTTGGATAATTTTTAACCAAAAAAAGTTACGGACTGCAGCTTTAATGATAGATAGATAGATAGATAGATAGATAGATAGATAGATAGATAGATAGATAGTAGTCTATCTAGTAGTAGATAGATAGTAGACATCCTTATTTGTGTCACTGATCATCAACATTTTGTGAAATATTTTTGTGAAATATTGAGTAAAAGAAGTGTTCACTTGATTTCAGCAATTTTGTGTCTCCTGTCTCATCATTATTACATTACGTAACCTAAATATCAATATTATATTGTCCATCGCCATGCATTCTAAATATTGACATCGAACCCATCTCAGTTGAGCACTCCAGGGAAGAGTCTCATGAGAGCTCTATGTATCTTTGTATTGCAGTCTACTGTTCACGCTTCAGTCTGCCATATGCTTTGGTCTGTAATGTTCTAGCTCTTTCAGTGACTCACTTAGGAAAAAAGCATTTTTAGCAGGAGACTGAAGAAGCATGTCTCTCTGTGCCAATTCAGTTAAAACTATTTGCGAGCAGCAGGGTGCTGGGCTATTTCAGCCTGTCTATTTATACTGATCGTCCTAAAACGCATGAGCTCCTGCCTGTGTCACTGACATACCAGAGAAACACATGGACAGAAAGACAGACAGATGAATAGACATATAGTAATGCAGAAAATATGTGAATGGATTATGGCATGGCATACAGACCACTTTTGCTGGAATTTGTGAAATGCAATCACATAAATCCCATGCAACTTTATCTTTTACACTGTTCTAACTGGGCAAGGCCTTGCATAATCTAACTATATACTAATACTGTCTGTAAGTGGGCCGTTATGTATAGGTTTGAAGTACCATATGTGTATTATGATAAGGAAATACAGATTTTCAGAGTCACTATACCTTAATGAGGATGTTTACTTAACCATATAATATCTCACCTTATATTATTCATCTATATCACGTATACTTGACCCTTGAATCAATTAATTGAAATAAATAGCTACTCAATTACTGTTACCTATAAAATCAAATCATAACACATTATAGTAGCTGTAAATAATTTATGATGCATTGAAAGACAATAAATACTATGCTAGAATACATTTAATATATTACCATATCTAGATATCGGACTAGAATAAAGTACTATGCAATAACCGATTTTAAAAATCTGTATATTGTAGTGCACTATATTTGCAACTTCATGTTTTATACTAATCTAACTTGCATATTCAAACTAAATAACAGTATATTAAGTGGGTCACTATGTAAAAGTTCGAAGGACCATATGTATATTATCATAAGGAAATACCGATGGTCCAATTCTTTTCTGAGGAACAAAAAAGACTTGGCAGAAAAGCAGAAAAGTTTAGGGAAAAAATTAAGAAAAATGTTATAAATAAATAAATAATAAAAAAACAAGATTAAAATAAATACAAATTTGATTAACATAAATAAATAGAAATGGGATTGAAGTAAATAAGTAAATAAATAATACATCAAACAGTATAATGAGTGGGGGGGGGGGATATAATTTAATAGAAACTAAATATTTCCCAAATAATATTTTAGACATTTATAATATTTCACATTACAAATCTGGTCTTTACACAAGAAATAGTACACAAAAATTATCACATCTGGGGTCTGAAATATTGAAAACAACTTATCTAATGCACAAGAGTGAACCTCAAATCTAGATCAGTGATGTGAGAATTCTCCCTATCCAATCCACGACCTATAAAATAGGTCATAATATTAATACCAAGACCTACATCTCAAACCTTTAAAGGGGTCATGTGATGCAATTTCAATTTCTCATTTCTCTTTGAAGTGTTACAAGCTCTTGGTGCATAAAGAAGATCTGTAAAGTTGCAAAGACTAAAGTCTCAAATCCAAAGAGATATTCTTTATAAAAGTTAAGAGCCAGCCACACCTACCTAAAACGGCTCGTTCTAACACGCCCCCACATGTCTACGTCACTATGTGGGAAGATTTGCATAACGCCGCCCAAATGTTCACGCAAAGAAAGGAGGAGTAACTTTTATTCTCGCTGTAGTATTGTTGCCGCCGCCACCATGTCGTGAAGGCACTGTGTGCTTCGTTGTGAAAGCGAAACTACTTTGTTTGGTCTTCCAAAAGAAGACGATATCCGCTTCGTCATGCCTGGAGCTGATCCGTGCTGGTCGCTGAGGAAATACATCAACTTAGCACTGTGGGCCGCTGGATCGGCTTTCACCGTGGACGAAGCGGAGTCCAGCCCGGGGTCGTCAAATGTGGTTGCCGCAAGCCTCCTTCATCGAATCCGCCTCCTCTGCTCACTCTAGCCGGCCTCCGCTCACTCAAGTTGTGAAAGCGAAACTACTTTGTTTGGTCTTCCAAAA